GCATGCAATTTTTATGATATCCAAGGTCAGAAAAAATAAGCTAATTTCAGCACGGAGTTTTGCTTTTGAGGAGTCAGATACTGAAGCCCAGGTATTTAGCATGTATTTAGCATCATGCACCCTATCCTGAGGGTCAGGTGGGAAGCAAAAAAATTACATCATGTGATAACCCTATACAGAAATATACATGTAGAAAGAGATAGGGATGCAGCTGTGTTGCTGAAAGTAACATTGCTAAAGTAATAGAAGGGATTTTTCTGGACTATTTGGTTCTTATATTCTTTGCCTAAATATCTCCTACTGGTAGATAGAGATATGATAATGGTCAAGCTCAATCTCCAGTCTTTCCCAGAATCGATTTCATGGGGTAAGTGGTATCCCTGCTTCCCACACGTTACATTATTTAAAATATTGTTGCTCGTTCAGTTCGTGTAGAGGCTATCAGGCAGTTCAAAGAGTAAAAAGGTGGCTTAAAAAGAAAGAAAATGCAAAGATTTGGGAAAAGAAAAAAAGAAATAGCACGAATAATAATCATTCTGCCAGCGAGAGTCATGATAAAAAGCACAGAGAAGTACAAGGTCAGAGATAGGAGAGCCAGCTCCCTCCCACACTTGGCAAGCGAGCCAGCTGTGCGTGCAGCTGTCAGGGTACCTCATAAGCAAAGATGCTAGATAACTATTGCACCTACTCATGTTTGGAGAAGCAGAGGAAATGTGAAGGGATGACACCTCATCAGAGAATATCTCTAGTGTTTCCTCTTACCTAATAATGTCTAAACATTTCCAAATTCTCTCCAGTTTGCTGTTCTTCTATCTTCCTGTTAGGTGTCCAGTTTCCTTCTGTGAATTGCTAGTTTCCTTTCACATGATTTTTCACTGCTGTACAAATAATATGGAAGAAAAAAAAAACTAAACCAAACTTTATTACTAAAAACACTGAGGAACTGCTTTCTCTGGAAAATTCAGTTGTGCCATTTTATTGGTTAAATTCAAATATCTATTGAAATTTTACTTTGATGTTTTCTAGCACTTAAGATTTTAATCTCATGATAATTCTTGTCATCATTTCATCCTAAACCAGATTATTTTGAAATTAATTCAAAATGTGAGTGTGTAATATTTCTCTTATTCTTTATGAGTTGAAATGAACCTTCATGTTGACAGCTCCAAACAGGGCTGCCAGTCTGTGCACGACCTGATTCCCAGTTGTACAGTTACACAGAACAGTACTGTGTAAAGAAAGAGATACTTCATCACATCTGCTTTCCATGGCACCTTAATAGCAGATCTCTCTTGACACAGAGTTTGAAGCTTGAGTTTTCACTCAAGTAGAGGGATATGCAGAATTAGGTCTCCACGTGTGATTTTTAAATCCATTCCTTCCCCAAGCTGACTGCTTTGATTTATAAATCTCATACAAATTGCTCTTTGACTTTTCTGTCCTTCATACTCTTCCCATCTTTCACCGTTTTCCCTCACCTGTGTTGATCTTTGTGTTGTTTCTATAACAGGAGATGGGCTTAAACTTAAAATTTAGAAAGTGTACTGGTTACCACAGCCTTGCCTTGGAAATGAGTAGATCGTCTCATCACGTAACACACACATGCATATATTCACATACTCTGTCTCAGTGGTTGTAGCTCATGGCAAAAAGAGCTACTGGATATATCAAACTGGTAAATGTAGCTGCATACTGCAAGCTAAAAGAATGCTACAATTTCTCGTATGCTGTTTTTTAAATAAGCAAACCTCATGACACAATTTCTTTAGAGAATGGTAAAGAAACACAGAAACTATCATTTTCTTCTAATACTCAATTTTTGAGACTTTATTGAACTGTGAAAATGGAAGTGTGTTTAAAGATATGTTTAAGGGGATTGTTTATACTTGGATGTTTTTCCTAAGTGCCTCGTGCTTTGTTTCCTTGTAAAGCTTTTAACAAAATTGGCAAGCTGAAGGAGGGGACAGAGGCAGGGGAATTCATGTCATCTCCACAGCCGTAACCTTTGCAAGTCAATGGCTCTCAAAGTCCTATATGTTTGCGCTCAAGTACTCACCCACAGCTTCTGTTCTTCAAAACTGACCTCTTCTGGGCTCAGACCTTCATTTTGTTTCCTTACTGTGGACTTGGTTACATTTTTAGGTATGGCTTTATATTTTATAAACCACTCTGCTAGCTAAGGACTCATGCCTGCTTTCTCACACTTGAGACTGGGCGCCCCCTTTTACCCCGAGCAAACTTCAAATTCCGTGCAAAGGCTCCGTGAGAAAGACCCGTTGATTTTGCCCGTTTATCAGTGGCTGTTCTGATGTGCCTCTTGAACATACCTTGATATTAGCTGCACGTTTTTTGCATAATTTGTATTTTAGAAATTTAAAAATAGGCATTCGATATCATTGCTTTCCAAACAAGAGTAAATTAAAATGAGATTCTACTGTTTACTGGAAACAGCCGATGTGCTGTTGTAGGAGAACATGAGAAAAAACATGATTTAGAGCCTGAGTGATCAGCGACAGTGACCTTCTCCCTCTGATCCACACAACTCTCATATATAAGAGTGCACATGGCTGTTGCACGACCAAAGCAGGGATGGCAAATAATAGGGCAAAAACGTTAGTATTTTTACTGTTAATGTTTTAAAGTTAATATTTGCTGCAAATAGATGTTCTAGGTAGATGGTCAGACAGGCTCTCTACAGGACAGGGGAGGGAGAGAAAGAGAAAATTAACATCTACCTTACCTTCACAAATGTCTTACCATGCAGATTCACTTTCAACCTTGGTGGTTAGTCCCCTTGCATTTGGTTCAGATGATTGAGTTGGTTTGGTTGTGAAAAAAAAAATATTTTCTTCCTCTGATGTGAATTCTCTAACCTGTGACTCATCCTATGGTCTGGAGTTTGCTCTCCATTTTCTTAGCTCTTCCTGTTGTTTTGGGTTGGTAGGCGGTTTTTGTGTTTTGGTTGTGGGGTTTTGTTTTTCCTCCACAAAAATAGATACAAACCAGAAATAGTCATGAAATAGTTTGTTTCCTGGCCCACGGAGCTAGTAAGAGATTTGTATGTGAATCTAGAAATTCACAATTAAATGGAGGTAGTTCTAAGATGACACACTCATAAGTTCTATTGTAGGACAGCCTCATGTGATGGCCCCAAAAGTAATCCTCTTAAAATGTACTGGACTTTCAGCCCTCCACAGGCAATCGACCCACCTTGCCAAGGGCTGGGCTACGTGAGCCCTTTTCACAGAATGGGCACCCCAACGTACAGTGTTGGCAACTATTTTTAACTCAAAGAAAGAAAAAAGATGAATTTTATCTAAAATGAAGTGCTTAGAAGGAAGGTAAATTTTAGTTTATGTGGACTAGATTCAGTAAGGACACTAAGACAGGATCTTTTGTTCTTTGAAGAGTATAAAAATGAGATTGATATTTCTGTGTTTTCTGTTCTTGAAAAGATGTAAAATAAAAACCACAAAGTTGTTAAAATATAGTCTAAATTTTCTTAGAGAGAAAGTAAAGTTTATTTAAATGTAGCATGCTATATATAAACATAATTGATTCTTAAAGTTAAAAGTGTTTTCTTTTTATAAATATGCTTATGAGATTTCATCTGTAGAAGCATTCAATAGGATTAATACTATGAATTTTTTAAAATAGCATATTGCTGAATTCTGAAAACACAGTATTCTATCAAGAAAGTTAGTTAACACATTCAGGAAATTTTCATCTGTCCTGAATTTTTCTGATACTAACAAAACAACAATAAAACACTAAAGTAGAAGCTTTCTAAATATTGTGCTTTACAGTATAGAATATCTTACATATATTCTTTTTCTAAAATACTTTTCAGAATTGAAAATTATACAAAAAAAAAGAAAATAATGCAAAACAAATCAAACCCTTGATTAGAAATGGCACACAAAAAGAAAATATCATGCAAGTGGAATATTCAGTTGATTCTTTTCCTTAGCATTCCCCTAATTTCAAAAAAAAACCCCACAAACATGCTTATATAAATGCTATATAAATTTATACAGTGGATGTGGATTATTTTTCTTACCATATATTTACTGTACATGAGAGAAAGCTGGTAATCTTCAGCTGAAGTCAAAGATTGTCATATCAATATGATATAAAAATTTCATTTTGTACGTTATATTCAAAGAATGTTATTGTATGATTGTTTTACAATTTAATGCATGATGATTATCCCAAGAATAGTCAAATTAGTTTAACACACACTGACAGATGGTTTGTGGGCAAAGACAAATCCATGAATAACCTAACACACTGATCAGCATTAAAATATCACATATCTATGCACTGTGAAAATGATTGCAAATGATATTAGCATTGTCTTTTGCTAAGACATATGTAATAACATAAAAATACCTTAGCTCTACTATTTCTTAACTTGCATTATTCAATTGAATATACTGCTAAAAATGAGTATTCTGTCACAGTGCTAGCAATGCTGGAGATTGAACAACTAAATTATATGCTTCTCTGATTTTATTTTAAAGTTAAATTAGTAATTTAATTTCTGAATATAGAAATGAAGCCACTTCTGCAGAGAATGTTCTGTTGCCAAAGATATTTATAGGCAAATATTTCCTTCTGTGCAGTTCTCTGTTGAAGGTGTTTCTCTCATTTATTTTCATTTACCTAAAATATAAAAGCTTTTTTAAAAAAAACATTAGCATTACTGCCAACATAGAAAAGAAAAAAGTTTGTGAAATCTTATACACCTATTTCTCACTTTACTATTTCATTTTATAAATAACAGATATACTTTTTAACAAGCCTGAACCACTTAAACATATTATTGAATTTTTGTGTACTAGGCATAATAAAATAACTCATTTAGGTAAAATTCTCTGATTTTTGTAGAGCATGAAGGTACTTTTGTGTTCCAATAGCATAATGGCTCAGAGATAAGTATTTTCTGTAATGGAGGACACTAAGATGTATATAGTCTGTACTGCTTTCTGGAAGTGTTTCTGATCTTCTGGACTTGGTCTTCCTGAAACTCCACTCAGTTTAGTTTCACAATATTGATAGTCATCAGGGCAACTTCACAACAACAACACAAGCTCCAGCCCTTCCAATATTGACGGGAACTTCCTAAAAAAGGGAAAAAAAGAAAAAGGAGGAAAGATTTTTAGTAGATTCTTATGGATAGAAGAAATTACTTGCAGATTAAAAGGAAAGCAATTTGTTTATTCAAACCAAAGTACTGTTTATTCAAACAAAGTTTATGCCCCATCCCTGGAGGTGTTCAAGGCCAGGTTGGATGAGGCTTTGGGCAACCTGGTGTAGTGGAAGGTGTCCCTGCCCATGGCAGGGGGGTTGGAACTACATGATCTTTGAGGTCCCTTCCAACCCAAACCATTCTGTGATTCTACTGATGAAAAGATTGGATTTCACAAGGGCTCTGAAAACACAGTTTTGGCTTCTTGGGAAAAGCCTTTGGCAGCTGATGAGAGTTACAGCAGTGTAGGCTGGTGGTGTTGTTCCTAATTTTGTAAAAGCCCTTCGTATCCTATGTTCCAAAAATGTAGACTGTGTAGCTAAAAAAAGGATCTTGACAGTTTTAAATATTTTCTCTTGGTCTCAGTGGTGCTGGTGTCCAGCAGAGGACACTGCTGGCAAAGGCATGCCAAGCTCCAGCAACCCTGAGTTAAGCACTTCAAGCACAGAATGATTTGTGCAACCTGCTTCGCTCACCCGTGCACTGCCTGCATCCTTTAATCTGAAAAATTTCATGCAGTTATTTCACAGGAGAAACAATCAATATTTTATACAAGCCCAAATACATTATTACTGCATCCTCATTTATCATTTTTCACAAAACCAGTGATAATTTTGCAGCATAATCATTTTTTAATGCTTTCTCCATTAAACGGACGGAATTCTTCTGACCTCCAGGAAGAATTCCTGGTATTAGCTGATTCTTCCTATTACCTCTGTCCACTCGTTATTTTGAGCATCGTAGGACTCCACGGTATCCAGGTACGTATGGCCATCGTAGCCCCCAACAGCGTATAATCTGTCCCCCAGAGGACAAATTCCAACAGCATCCCGAGGTACGCTCAAGGGGGCCACTGTTGTCCAAGCATCTGTTTTAGGATCATACCTAGGATGTTTTATGATTAGAATTAGAAAAATACATTGTAGAAATGCATTTCAAATTTAAATTATTGATATTTGCTTCTTTTCTCCTGTATTGTAGTTCAGTTTACACCGTGAACTAGTATAGGGTATTATGAGTAAAGTGATTAAACATTTAATTTAGCCACTAGAGGGATCTGCAAGCACATGACAAATGCCTGTAGTTTTACTTTTTGTTTACAGTCTTTCCACTTCATCAGATTAAATGATCAATATATTCTGAACATAAACTAGGCCTGAGGGAATGATAGCATGGCCATCAGTTGACTCAGCGAAGTCAATTTCTAGGTTTTTTCTTTCTTTCTCCATAGAGATTTTTGTTTTCTGATTCTTGTCATAACAAAAGTTTCCAGAAAATTTCACTGTAAAAGAAGTTAAATATCTCATACAGTTGATAAAAGTTTAAAAAAGTTGTTAAATCAGACCCTTTTTAGCCTGATTTCCTTTAGCAATATAGTTTCTGACAGAAATGAGACTCTTTCTATCAGTCTTTTGCATCAGAAAATACCTATGTAGTGACTAGTGCCAGTTTGAGTATATAATGTTTATTATATTTTAAATATTTTGGGCAAAATCAGCTGAATTATTGGAGGAAGGGACAAGTGAAAAGTCATTTGTTCCTACAGTATATGACATAGGTACCCAAAACCTAGGTTTTGGCACTTGAAAAATAGAAAGATCAGATATTGAATTTATCTTACTTTTTAAGTTGCCTTTATCTGCCTCCTGGGCAGCTCAAATGGAAGGGGAAGCTGAGAGGAATTTGCTTCTGAGGATGAATTGTTACGTTATCACAAGAGTGTTGGAAATCAGTTATTCTTCTCAAAACATTATTTTAAAAAGCATAATACGTTCTACAAACATAACATTTCTATCGTGAAGATATTTCCCTTGCCACTATAAATTATTTTATATTTTCTTCCTGGAATGTAAAAAAAAAAAAAAAAATAAATTCCTTACCTTTCTACACAGTCGGAAAGTCGAGAGCAGTGGTTGGAAGCAGGTGCATCATGACCTCCCACGGCATACAAAAACCCGTTGTATGTGGCAACACCAACACCACCTCTTCGTTTCGACATCGAAGCACAAATACTCCACTTGTTCGTGTGAGGATCAAAACATTCCATTGATTTTAAGCAGGAGCTCCCATCTCGCCCACCGACAGCATACAGCCTGCAATAATTACCCGCAAGAAGGCAAAGAATTTCGGTCTTTAGTCTCATGTTAACAGGAATTTTATTTGGTTAACTTCGTTCAGACCACTTCAAAATTATCGTTATACCCATTATTTGCTGTCTGACAGCGACACTGGGAACTCTCTTTGCACAAAGGGTTTTGCATACTATATGAGGGAAGTTATACTCTTCATTTGCAGTGTAAGTTTTCAAGCAGTCACATATGAACATTAAGCTTAAAAAGTGGATATCACCTTCTTTAAATGTGAGCTGTAGATGGAATTTAATTGAAAGATGCTACATATGTTTGAAACATATGGGTAGTCTTCCCTATGACAGACTGAGGGATTATTTGACATCTTAGTCTCACATTAAGCATTTTTGCTATACTGATAATGCGTAAAAGAATTTTAATAACATCATTATATAAAAAAAACATGTCAAAAATACATTAAATATATTTTCCTCAATGATTGCATTTAAGAAAATCAGCTGGACAGAAGTTACCGTACAGGCATGCCATCTTGCCTGCTCAGCTTAAAGGCTCTTAGCAAACAACTGAAGATTTAAGCCAGCTGATGTTGGGACAACATGTAAGAAGAAATGGTGGAAATCCACATTAAGGTGCATGGGGTTTTGTGGCTTTTTGTCAATGAATTTTACAAAGCCTGAATTTCTTTTGTATTTCAAGCCAACTTGGATGGTGCTAGACTAGGATAGCATGCAAACTGGATGTAATAGCAGACCTCTAGATTTTGAGTGTGCCAATTGTTCAGGTTACTGCCCGGAAACTCAATTTACTTTGTGCAACTCATTTGAGACCTAGGGAATGCATTTACTTGCCCAGACTAAGTCACCTAAAACAGATCGGTTGAATTTTGCTTGAGAAGTGCCTGTGTTTGTCCAGTGACTGGAAAAAATTGTAGACTCCTCTGATTTATAATTTAAATGGAAAATTCTTGACCACAGTTAGAATAATACAAGATGTGTAGCACTCTCTTCTAATGTTTCTGAATGGAAGACTTGATTTCTGCTGTGCAGTTTGTTGCTTGACCCATAGAAATCTTGAGGATTTGATTTGTTTTCTTTTCACATCATGCCATTAGATACAGTCTGCTTGTTTACACAGCTTTCACAGAGAGAGGAAATCCCTATATATACAAACAGATTGGTTGGGATTTTTTGTTTTCCATAATGTGTCTAGAAACATGGTGGTGTTTCCCATTTTCTAAGGAAAAGTACAAATACATCATTATTGACTGATGTTTTCAATAGACCATTTATCAGTCAAAAAGTATTTCTCCACAAAAACTTAAGTCTTTTCTGATGTGGCTAAACAGAAAAAAAAAAAAAAAAAAAAAGA